ATGTATTTAATTACTCATAATGTATACCCTTTTCAACCACAGTTATGTATGATAGGTAAAACAGACTCAGGCTTATGCAAAAAATGTCAAAAGCAGATCGATAACATGAAACATAGATTTGTATGTAGCAGAGAGGAAAGGTTAATTTCAGTATTTTTAATTAGGACTTTGAATAAGTTTACTAACTCTAATATGTCTTTGTCAAACTATCTTCAGTTAAATTTCAAATTTAGAAACAAAACAGTCAATGTCTTTGCGATATTTATTATTGTAACTACAATCATTTATATTTTGGACGAGAATCAAGATTTCAACTATTACAAATCTGAACTAGCTCATTCCTGTCACAAATTAGGTAAAATAGATAGAGCGCAATATTTAAGATTAATTAAAATAATGATGGGTTGTTGATGTACAATTAGCAGGATCGTAACAGTATATAAACTGTGGTACTATTTGTCAGGAATGAATAACGACTGTAGCTCATAGATACTTTAGCTATGTATGTTTTTGTTATATGAATAAATGAAAAAAAAAAAAAAAAAAAAAAAAAAAAAAAAGAACTCCCACTGCACGAGCGGCGTAACGTTTACTACGCCCATCGTTTACTAACGCAACTAATCTTGCTACTTGTTCAGGATTTATTTAAGGCATTTTATGCAATTTTAGTCAATAAAACAAGACACTTAATTAATGACACAACGACAAATAGTCAAATATGGAGGCATACAACAAATTAGTTGCTGTGGCAACGGCATTTGTTTTTTTAAAGACAATGTGATCCTACCAGAGTACAACCCAACCAATTTTGAGTACTCTGATCCTTCAATAAATTCAATTTGTGGGATAAGCGTAAGGTATCAGCAAAAAAGCTGTAATTCGGAAAATTTTAGAGATAAATCAATGAATAAAAAAACAAAATGCTCGCAAAGGAAACCTCTTTCGTATAGGGTGTAAGCACTTTGTATACCATTACTCAATTAACACACAGGGTGAGTCGAAAATTAAGAATAAATCAAGGTTCGAGTTATTCCACTACCATCAAGGAGACTTTGAAAACATTTTCACCTCTTATTTATTTTTTTTAAGACAAATGCATTACCTACCAATAAAAAATAAATAAAAATCGGCCAATCATTTTTTTTTTTTAAAGAAGATAGGTCGAATATCAAGTGCGTCACTATTTTTGGAACTGAGTGTATTTTTGTAGAAATCGATAGAAATTCAATATTCCGAAAAAGAGTTTCGTTTATACACATTACTAATATTATTCAATGAAATATATAACTTTATTAAAATAAGATAGGATATTACAATAAATAACAATAAATACATATTTATCCAGCCACAAACTGATGACGAGGTACAGATAAATGATAATGAAATATAAACTATAGCAACCTCAAATTATCTACAATGGGATGTAAATTGACCATCCACTTGAAATATCTCAGTAGTTATAGGGTGTCTCTTTATACTTTCATACCTACCTACACCTTTTCCGAGGTGAAAACATTGTTTCCACCTCGAAAAGTTAAAGCAGTAGGTGGAGTTCCAAATATGAAGGGATACCCTGTACATAATTAATTGGTAATAATAGCTAATTTTTAATCGAGACAGTGTGTTTCCGTTATTAAAGACAAATTGAAAGTACCTCTACTCATACAATTGAAATTTCTGCAAAGTATTTCTGATACATACAGGGTTGAAATAAAGTATGGAACCAAGCAAATATTTCGGTAACTGTTCGTTAGATTTTTTCTTGAATTTATGTACAGGGTGATTTCAAAACGTGTCGGATTTGAAAATGTTATCGCCAATGCTGCCACTTTTTCAGTTATTCCGGAAATATTATTAACTTCCTTATTTTGAATAGAACACCCTGTATTTTAATGAATTCTCAGGTTCTTCCAGAAAAGCTGATTTCATCGATATAACACACTTGGGGTCTAGCGGAAATGATTACTGAGATATAGGGTGTTCAAAATCGAGATTCTTCAACTTTAGGATTTTTTTCTTTTTCAGATTACTATTTATTTTTGTAATGAATCTTTGTTCCACCCTATAGACCTGAAAACACAAACTTCATGCGCCTAACCTTACCTAACCTAATTTAACTCCATGTGTAGTAATATGCCCAATGCCCACCATGCGGAGTTGGCAATTTACACATGGGCTACAGTACCTAAATCTGCGTCAGCACCTGAAAGGAGTGGTCAGATGAATGAAATTTCTGATATGTGTCTGTGTATTATTTGCCAAAAAGATGTTCATGAGGATTGTGTGGAACTAATAACTAAGGAAATTGAAGACACTTTCATTAGTTCATTTTGCGAATAATATCTACTTAAAAATAATCATGTTTGTTCTACTTATTCATTTCTGAGGTTTTGTATTTAGTGTTGAACATAAATAATTATTATTCCACAAGTTTCACATTTTTTTTTACAATTGCGTCTTATTGCCGTCACCGTGTTGACAATAAGGCCATTTACACTTTTTTTTGTTTGGATAAGAAATATCACAATCCAACTTTTCATGGCAAATATTTTTTTTAGGTTCTGAACATGTTATACTTCATCATGAAGTGATTGCCGTAACTCGTTATTCACAATTATTTTTATTTCAAAATATTCAATTTGTTTCAAAATTGGATAAAATCGAGGATAGAATGTTCAGAGGTTTAGCACTTCATTTGTCAAGCAGTTTATTTTGATGTCTGAATTGACGGAAACCCACTATCTCGCCACAAAGACACTATACAACAACGAATACTTTCAGTCCCTTATCGCACATGGTGGATTTATAAACTCAACAACTAAGAATTAACAATTAAATTAAGAATCTTCTGAATTAGTACATACTCAAAGTGGAATGGAATGATCAAGAAAGAAACACTGGGAGATTTATTACATTGGTATTGTAACAAAAACCACCAATATATCTTCTGTTGTATTTCTCATATTGTCAACTAATTTCCATTTTGGTTTTTATAGTTTTTGTGACTCCCTATATCTTCTTCTTGGTAAGATGTAAAATTGAGTATGGTTTTCTATTGTAGGTTCTCTTTGTCTTGGAGACAACTTCGAGTTTTTCTTCCTTAATCAAATTGAGAATCCAAGAAGCTGATTCGTTGAATCATTCGAATAGACCAATCAGCTTCCAAAGATTGTTAATTTATATATCGAAGACTGGAACCTTTGGCACGATAATACACTACGCATTGTTTTACCACTAACCAAACCGATTTTTTACACCTCAACACGTAGTTTGCTCACTATATTAGACATCTTCAGGAGAAGATTAAAAGTTTGATCACGTATTTCCTTAACTATGTTAGCATCTTCAGGAGAAGATTAAAACTTTAATCTACTCCTGAAGATGTCTAACATAGTTAGAGAAACACGTGTCGAGGCGTAAAAAATCGGTTTGGTTAGTGGTGAAAACTTCACAAATGATAAGATTTCCACAAAATTCTCAAAAACACGACATGTTTCGCTAACACAGTAGCTTCGTCAGGTGATATACTGGTACGATGGACAACACTAACATTGGCTTGCTTATACCGGGTGACACAGGAGACATGTAGCAGCCTGTTGTTTTCTTATTCGAAGAGATAAAATTTTGAAATTCACAGGGGATATATAATAAATAGTAGCGCACTTTACGAACTTAACGAAAATTTTTTTCAACCACCTGTTTGACCGGAATTGACCCCAACTTTTTTGTCCTAAATGTCACCCTGTACATTTCTTCAGTCTATCTTTTTCGCCTTGAAATTCTCTATCCAACCATCTATCACAAAGTGGCATTTATTTCTTAATTCGATGTTGAATTGCTTTTTATTCAAAAAGAATAAGTTGGCTGTGACATGAATTCGATGATATATCGACACTTTGTAGGCTTTGAAATTTAAAGATCATTAGTAAAACGATATTATTCAAAATGTTTTGATATTCTGATCGAAGTCTGCAGGTTGTCAATAGCTTGTTTGGGTCAAGATGAAAACCTTCGAAAATAACTCATGATATTGAGGAATCTAAGATAGGAACATATTTTTCGAATTCAGCTACTCGTACAGAAACTATCTGTCTTTTATTTTCGCCATGTACCTATCACATGATCTTCCCATTCGGAATAATAAAACTAAAATTGTTCCTCTCATACGATGATCCACAGGGCTAAACAAAATGTTTTATGTGTTTGACAGTTAATCGATTGCATCAATAATTTTTCTTCTTCATTTGTGTGTTGATTGAAATTGCATATTATCAATGGAGACGGAAAATGTATTCAAGAAACGAAAAAGTCGATATGTTGTTAATATGCAATTTTAATCAACACACAAATGAAGAAGAAAAACTATTGTTGCAATCGATTAACTGTCAAACACATAAAACATTTCGTGTAGGTACACCGCCTACTAAGTGAAATAATTATGAAAAAATAGACTGATAAGGTAAGGTATATCGGTCTGACAGGTCGTACGTTTGATAAGCGCATTCATGAACATAAGGTGAATTTCTTGAAAAATAAAACAAATCCAACATACGCCAAAACCATTTAGTTTTGATCATAATTACGAAATTTTACACGTCGAAAATGAATGAATGAAACACAATCATTTTGAATCATTAGAAATCAACTAACTCAAAAATTCTGACATTTTACTTAACGATCAATTAGACCTCAATTTGTTTTTTAGTAGGCAATAATATATATTTGTTATCAACCCTTTCAAGTTAATCCGGTACACTGTATTTTAACGTTGATGATATTGTGCCTGATTTCCGAAAATGAATCTTTATCGAACCTGTCCACAGGTAACTAATCCTTCAGGTTGGGAAATAGGATGTATGAAAGTCAAGCAAGCCAACGATAGTTAATTCATCGTACCAGAGTATATCACCTGACGAAGCTACTGTGTTAGCGAAACATGTCGTGTGTTAGAGAATTTTGTGGAAATCTTATCGTTTGTGAAGTTTTTACATTTGCCATGGATTTCCATCAAGTAACGGCCGAGTAAATTCAAAATTAATGTAATTGTTAATTCTTAGTTTAGTTGACTTATAAATCCAGAAATATCGATTTTTCTAATTTCCCTCGACGATCCTTGTATACGGGGCGTTCTGCCACTGGCCGCCCTTTCTCGCTAGCAGCTCCGCCAGCACGTAGACCAGGGGGGAATTGGAGGGTATTCTGATCTCGCGCCCGGAGTCCGGATTTCTGCCGAACCGGAGGAAGGCGTCCTTTCGCTTGGGGTATTCGTCCGGGGCGGTGGACCTTTTCGGACGGGGGTTGTTTTCGTTTTTCGTAGCGCTACGACCTACGGCATGAAAAAACTATTGTTAACTTTTATGGGATCTCCTATAAAAATGGCGACCGATAAAGTCCAAGTCTTCTTCAATTTCAAATTATAGCTAGCGAAAAGCTAACGAATGAAAAAAATAGAAGAAGTGAAACTGGCAAACCAAAACATACATAACCCCAAATGCACTCGGAGCAGGAATGCAGAAGGTAGTTTTGGCTTCATTCTGACAGGTTATGGTTTTGTTGTTTACGCATTGAAATATCTCGAATAGAGCTCGATCCTTAACGAAAATATCATTGAATCAATGAATCAATATCGCCTACATTCAATGATACTATCCTTCCTAATTTACTGCCATCGGTCAGAAGAGAATGAAGCCGACACCCATGGCTTCTTCCTCTTATTGTGCCTGTCAGTATTTTGAGTGGTGTGGACGGACTCGAACTATTAGGCGCTGTTGCAATATATAATCTGCTATTTTATATTTATATATTTTATATCGGCAACGTCGTACTGGCACAGGGAATCGTATTCTAACTCTGTGTGGATGTAGATTTTCAGCAAGTACGTCATAGGAATGGTGGAGGAGCCAAATTCCTCTTTCATTTATTGTTTTCTTAAGTGAAATTTGATCTTATTTGAAATCTGATACATTTTGTGTACCCAACATTTGTTGTTTTTCCTATGAAATCTATTTTCATTTCTACACACATATAAAATCTGGTGTCCTACGTATGAAATCTGGTTTCATTTATGTAAGAAAATAGTTCCTTTGTGAAATCTGTATTCTTTTGTTTGAAATCTGATTTCATATGCGTGAAATCTATCTCTTTTTGTGTGAAATCTGTTCTGTTTCCTGAGAAGTTGTTTTCATTTATTACAAATCTTTGTGTGAAATCTGGTTTCAGTCACGTGAAGATTCTTTCTTTTCATGTGAAATCTGTCTCTTTTTGTATGAAATCTGTTTCAAGTTTATTGGAATCTAGTTTGAGTTATGTGGAATGGGTTTCCTTTTGTGTGAAATCTGTTATTATTCATGTGAAATTTCTATGCATTTGTCAGAAATCTGATTCCATTGGAATGAGTGTAAACTCGTTTTTTGTGCGCAATCTGTGTCCTTCGTGTGAAATTCGTGTTTGTTCATTTGAGATTTGCTTGCCATTATGTGAAATCTGCTCTAATTTGTACCAAAACTGGTTCGTGAACAATGTGTTTCCATTTGTGTGAAATCTGTTCCGTCTTGTATGAAATTTGTTTAATTTTGTGTGAAATCTGTGATATTCATTTTGAAATCTGGTTTCATTTATATGAAACCTGGTTGCTCTTGTGTGAAATCTGTTTTTTCTGTGTGTATTATATAGTTTGTTCAAAATCTGGTTTCATTTGTATGAAATCTATTTCTTCCAGTATGAAATAATAATATGTTTCATCATGAGTGAAATCCGTCATTTTCATTCATTCATTGTGTGAAGTTAAGTCATTTGTATAAAATCTGGTTTTATTTGTGTGGAATCTGTTTTCATTTGTACGAAATCTGGATCAATTTATTGAAATCTGGTTCAATTTTATGAAATCTGTTTCCTTTCCATCAATATCTTTTCCATTTTCTGCCGAATATGGCATCATTTTTCATGAAATTTGGTTGCCTTTGTGTGAAATGTTACCTACCTCATGTGTGAAATCTGTTTTCATTAGTGTAAAATCTGTTTTTCTGCAACCGACACAAAAGTCGTCCATTTTGATACCAAAATTAGCTCTTAAATTGACGTTTCTATTACTGACACAAAAATAGGTATGTTGCTAGGCAACATATTTAGTTCCTAGGAGCTAAAGTTGAATTTTAGTTCCTAGGAGCTAAAGTTGAACTTTAGCTCCTAGGAACTAAAAAGGATGTACTGGACGTCATCGAGAATGAACAACATTGTGACGGTTGGTTATTTGGGTTGAGACGCATACCTGATTTGTTTCCGATTTCAGCAGATTTGGCATTTCATACCCATGCTGGAGATATAAATACACCTTATTATAATAGTTTGGTATTGGAATTATAAACATCTCAGTTAAGTATTTTTGTTTTGATCAGGGAAGCCTTCAAGATTCAAATACTTGCTTGATCTGTATTTCATTCGTTACTCTTGAGATGGATAACTTGTTTTTGAATAATCACGGCAAACAATCGGTTTTTTGTCTCAAACAACGATGTTGTTTAGCTTCATTTTAATATCAAGTCAAACACAGTGTAGTATGGAGAGGAATAAATAATCACCATTATCATTGTTGATATGTTCACTAACCTAACATTTTCCACGTCTCGTTCCTATAGCTGGCACTGGCGCGGTATTTGCCATTAGAGCACCTGGTCCATACACAAATATGTCACTCTGTGGTTGTATTTATATTGAAACTACAATTCGAACATCCTAGAAAACCTAACCTGCTGTTAATGCAGGTAGAATATTCTCACTACATGGATTATTTGTCAATATTTGATGCATTGCATACATATGGCACGACATTGGTGGTTACTCGGCTTCGCTAAACGCTCCGCCTCGCAAATGCAAAATTCGCTTGTCAAACAAAGTGTCACTTTTGATCCTAATAAAACAATCTACTATTTATTATGTGTGAAGGAACCAAATATAATCTGAATCTACTGGGCGACTTTGGCACTCACCGAACCTGAGATAGATCTCCCCATCCCTGAGCGTCTTGTTCTGATCTCTCCCGAATCTCAGAAACTGATTCCCGTTCCTGCCGAACCTGATGAAATTGTCGCTTTTCCTGATGGTGTCTTTTTTCGGCTTTCTTGTATCCTCGTAAACGTACTTGTCCGAGTCGCTCCTGCCGAACCGCACGAAGTCGCTGTTCCTCTTCTCGATTTCTGAGTCGTCGAGATCAGAAAGGTCTTCTGAGTAGCCCGCGTAGAGGTCGGAGGCGTCTGGATAGGGGTCTTCGAGGTTTGCTATCGAGGATTGGACCAGGACGAAGACGAACAGCGATAAGGGTATCATTTCTGAGCCTGAGAAAGATCAGAAAATATTGATTTTTTGAAAATGGTTTTTCTTCTCTGTGGTTTTCTTTAATCTTTTTGGGTTTTTTTGGGTAGGAAAATTCTTGGACTTTGGATTCTCATTGACGTTTCGCCTATGGCCATATACAGAGTGTTTCACAGGTAATGGGAAATATTTCAGTGGTACATAGGGGTCATCAAGGTGGTTCTGAAAATACCATATTTGATAAGTCTTAGAGTCTTCTTAACGGAGATACAGGGCGATTTATCGATTTCGAATAATTATTCATTCGTCTATAAGTATTGAACTACCCGGTATATTTTCCTCAAGTTTGGTAGGGAGCTTAAACTTGGTACGTTGACTTTATTCACCTATCGGGCGGAGCAAAAATGCAGGTTCGGCTTCAGGAAAAATTTTCATTTATTCGAAATATTAAAATAACACACTGTATGTAATAACTAACAGAGTTCATTGAAGGAATCGTGAAGAGGAGAAAAAACTGAATTGGATTTGATGCTTTTTATTTTCCCGCCACCAATTCTCATCGTAACAATCATAAACAAAAAGTTGAAAGTATGTCAATTTGAAGAATATTATAATTATGAAACCAGTTCTAATTATTATTATTTGATATATTTTAGTTAAATGATCTTTCGAAATAACTCACTAATGAGTATCACAGTCTTAATAACGGAGATGCAGGGTGAATTATCAGTTTCGAATAATTATTCACAATTCTAATATATCCAGCGGTATATCATAAACTTCTTCTTCATCCGATTCCATAGTCTCGCTATTATAATTATTATCACTAATTTTACTTTTCAGTCAAAGAATGACAATTCAGCTCGTTTATTGCTATAGTAGTAGTAGTATAGTATAGCTATAGACAACACAACCATCAGATTGATTGACAACGTCAAAATAAGTTAGGTTTATATACTGGGTATGCATATTTTAAATTCTGAAGAATGAACCTCTTCTAGAGCTGAAAGAGTTTTACTATTACGATAATTGCAATATTCGTACGATAATTTTCATATGTAAATCATCCATGAACATTACGCTTCTCTTGATTACTGAATTTATACGTAACAAATGAATTCTGGGGAATATCAGTTTATCGAAATCTATAGTCATTACTTATGAGTCAAGAAATGAACCACTAGTGCATAAAATGTTGTATGTATCTCGTGCGTGTAATGCGTTTATGGCCTTCAGCGTGTAATGGCCCTCGGCTAGCGCCATCGTGCCATTATTCACGCCACAGGCCATAAACGCCTACTTTACGCCCTTGATACATAAATAACTATTATGCATGACCGGGCTTAAAGTGGCACTTTAGCGCCCTAGGGCGGTAAAGGACAACACCGGGTGGTAAAGTAGTCCAGGTGATCGGACGGTAAAGTGATTTCACTGTTCGATCTTTCTTCACTAGTGGCACACATAATTTGGCGAAATGAATTAAAAATCATTAGTAAATTACATATTGTCAGTAAGAAAATGTCTAGAACATTGAAGAAATAATAAACCTGTGGTGTAAGCACTTCAATCCTTTCCTGTTTTACAATTCCATGATTTTCGCCTACTTCGATAAACATGACATGGCGTGGGTGAATCTCGCCTCGCTATGTTTAGTCTGGTGCCGTACCAAAATTACAGACATCAATGTGACAATTGTGACCGAATTGTGACCAATGAAGATAGGGAATACATTTTTTTATTTAAAAATGCTATAAAATGCAGGGTGTTCCATTTGAAATATCAATTTTGCTACTACTTTCTAGTAGAAGCGGCAACACTGCATTGTCGAAAATATTTCAAATGAAGAGGGCGTATTCTAAAATATAAGCATGCACATTTTCATGGATTTTTCCCAACTGATTCTCGATATAAAGATAGTGTAAGCTCGTCATGACATACCCTGTATTGTAGTTGACATTTTTGCTTTCACAGTCACAGATGCAAATTGCGAATAATAGGTCGCATTCTTATTGAACTGAAATATTCTCTTCTGAGGTTACCTACAATGATTATCATGAATTGTGATTGTATATTCATTTTTAAATTTTAATTAGATGTCTGGAATGAAACAACGCGAATGAAATGGATGAAAAGGTTTCCTGAAGTCTTGAGGCTTATGCTTCTATATTGTAGGAGGTAGGTATTCATATCCCAATCTGAGATATGTAAGCACTGGTTGATAATTTATTCATACTTCAATATCGTGTATTTTTCTTATTCACTGATGTTTATTATAGAGTGTGTCAACCTCAAGGAAACTCACCATCTCTTTGAAAATTGAATTTTTTTCTTGATCTTGATGAGCCCTTTTTTAGTTAGGAAGGTAATGTAGGTATTTCTACTACTACTACTGTAGGTACTAAGAAAAATATTACTAGTGATTTAAAACCCCTATTTCCAGTGAAATTATCATTCAATATTCCATCGGTGGCGTAAATATTGAAGACAAATTTATTGGTTTGACGAAAATATTCAGGGCTTAGAAAATAAACTCATGTTGGTGCTCACATTACAAGTATTCTGATCCACATGTTGAGTTTTACACTGGTCCATCGGATATTATCTTCAGAAGGGGGAGAAATATTCTCGGAAGTATTGACGCTCTGTCACTAACTTAGATCAGATAATAAGCAAGATCATCTTGCTATTAGGCTAGATCTTGCTTGTAGGATATACCATATCATCCTGCCTAATAAGCAAAATGATCTTGCCTAATAAGCAAGATGATCTTGCATAATAAGCAAAATGATCTTGCTTCATAAGCAAGATGATCAAGCCTAGATCGTCATCTTACCTATTAAGCAAGATCATCTTGCTATCAAGCTAGATCCATCTTGCTTATTAAGCAAGATCATCTTGCTAGTAGGATATACCATCATCCTGCCTAATAAGCAAAATGATCTAGCCTAATAAGCAAGATGATCTTGCCTAATAAGCAAAATGATCTTGCTTGATAAGCAAGATGATCTAGCCTAGATCGTCATCTTACCTAATAAGCAAGATCATCTTGCTATCAAGCTAGATCCATCTTGCTTATTAAGCAAGATCATCTTGCTAGTAGGATATACCATCATCCTGCCCAATAAGCAAAATGATCTAGCCTAATAAGCAAGATGATCTTGCCTAATAAGCAAAATGATCTTGCTTGATAAGCAAGATGATCTAGCCTAGATCGTCATCTTACCTAATAAGCAAGATCATCTTGCTATCAGGCTAGATCCATCTTGCTTATTCAGCAAGATCATCTTGCTAGTAGGATATACCATCATCCTGCTTGATAAGCAAAATGATCTAGCCTAATAAGCAAGATGATCTTGCCTAATAAGCAAAATGATCTTGCTTGATAAGCAAGATGATCTAGGCTAGATCGTCATCTTACCTAATAAGCAAGATCATCTTGCTATCAGGCTAGATCCATCTTGCTTATTAAGCAAGATCATCTTGCTAGTAGGATATACCATCATCCTGCCTAATAAGCAAAATGATCTAGCCTAATAAGCAAGATGATCTTGCCTAATAAGCAAAATGATCTTGCTCGATAAGCAAGATGATCTAGGCTAGATCGTCATCTTACCTAATAAGCAAGATCATCTTGCTAGTAGGATATACCATCATCCTGCCCAATAAGCAAAATGATCTAGCCTAATAAGCAAGATGATCTTGCCTAATAAGCAAAATGATCTTGCTTGATAAGCAAGATGATCTAGGCTAGATCGTCATTTTACCTAATAAGCAAGATCATCTTGCTATCAGGCTAGATCCATCTTGCTTATTAAGCAAGATCATCTTGCTAGTAGGATAACCGTCATCCTGCCTAATAAGCAAAATGATCTGGCCTAATAAGCCAGATGATCTTGCCTAATAAGCAAAATGATCTTGCTTGATAAGCAAGATGATCTAGGCTAGATCGTCATCTTACCTAATAAGCAAGATCATCTTGCTATCAAGCTAGATCCATCTTGCTTATTAAGCAAGATCATCTTGCTAGTAGGATATACCATCATCCTGCCTAATAAGCAAAATGATCTAGCCTAATAAGCAAGATGATCTTGCCTAATAAGCAAAATGATCTTGCTTGATAAGCAAGATGATCTAGGCTAGATCGTCATCTTACCTAATAAGCAAGATCATCTTGCTATCAAGCTAGATCCATCTTGCTTATTAAGCAAGATCATCTTGCTAGTAGGATATATGCTTAATAAGCAAGATGGATCTAGCCTAATAGCAAGATCTTGCTTATTTGGCAAGATGACGATCTAGCGGAGATCATCTTGCTTATCAAGCAATATCATTCTGCTTATTAGGTAAGATCATCTTGCTTATTAGGCAGGATGATGGTCTATCCTAATAGCAAGTTGATGTTGCTTAATAAGCAAGATGATGTAGCCTAATAAGTTGAAAAAACGCATACTGATCCTCCAGCGCTTCCGTAGCGAACATGTTTTCTGGCCGTGTGCCTAAAAAATATTCTAGAAGTGAATCTAAGTGTGAATAATGTTCTCGCGCTAAATAATTCAAACCACTTTGGGACGGATATGAAACATTCAGTGTGCACGCTAAAAACCAGGATCAAATGAAAAACTACGACTTTTCCGCAGTTCTGATTCTATTCGGGATAGTAGGAAAGCAGAGAGGAATATATAGCCAGGACATGACGAGAGTTTCCGAATATGGGAACGCATTTTTGGCCATCGCAAATTGTCATTTATTCTTCGTTAAGTGGGGACGTGATTTATTGAGCAGTGTATTATACTTTGTTGCCTCGGTCGACCAAAAGTTGAACAATTTTCACCTCTATATTAATGAAGAAGAACTGAGAAATAATGCGAAAATTTAACTTTACGGTCTGGGGACTGGAAACTCCACTTTTTCATCACATAGCTAGTATACCTACCTACTTGTTTACTATTAAGCTTTGTTCGCGGTTTTTTACCGAATTTACGAGACTTTTTTCCAAATAACTCATACTCGATGGGTGTTCCGC